CAGAACGCATCATGGCTTTTCTTCATTGCCACAACGCATTGAGATCGAATAGCATGTCAGCCACGACACGAATTTCGCTATTTGGTCTCTCTGTGATTGCCACAACGCGTCGTGCGCGTTTTCATTAGAGCCATAACACGAATTTCGCCATGTGGATGTTTTACTGTGACCACAACGCGTTGTGAGCTATTTTTCCGCTCACTGAGCGTTTTCGATCTTTGAGCGTAACATATCTAACATCTTGTTAGGCTCATATGGAAACAAGATGCTTGGTCATATATTGTTTGATATAACAATTTTGTTTTAGAGTGCACTTGCAGTCTATGGGTTAGCTTCACGCAGCGTGCTTTGGATACATTGCGTATCTAATATAATAACGAGTTCGGGATATTGTTTGGGCTGGCGCTATACTGCAGTGCGTCCACTATGTTTAGGAGGAGACCGAGGCGCGAACTGATTGCTTTAAGCGATAATTCGTAAGCGAAACGGGTCGCTGCTAAAGCGCGTGCGCGTGCTCTCTGATAGATGGGACACGCCGCTTCTGATGCGTGCGATGTGTCTGCAAACGGCGACGGCGACCTCCCAGCGGATACGTACATTATACGTAATAGTGTTAAGTTGAAATAAACTATGAAATTGAAATAAATTAAATTAAATTTATTAAACTGATTTAAATATTATTAAATTAAATTACTATTTTTACTAACGTTAGAATTAAGTCTAATTGTTACTAACACCATATGGATGTAGAAATCTGAAATAAATTATTATTATAATAATAATGAGTCAAAGCAAGGTTGAAAATTGAAAGACAAGTAACGTGTGGCTATTTTAAAAACGGAACTGTTTTTTTTTTGCCCAAATTTAGGCACTTCCCCGCGAGATATTAATCTGTTCCTAATAAAACTATCCCGAGCTGTAGCGTCCACAAAAGCTTTGAGTAGCCTCTGTCATTACTTTCACACATCTTTCCACTGCTTATGTGTGAGAGGGGAATGTCGAGGCTGTGTTCTTTAGCCTTCATTATAAGGTCATCGTTGGAGATATGTTGCGAAATTGGTGGAGTCGATATCTCACACTCTTGCCAAAATATTATATTAAAGTTAAGCTTTGATGTTTGAAATACCCTGCGAGAATTACTCTTTTCTGCTTCTCTGGCCTTTAATATTTTGTGAGATGCAAGTTCTCGAATGTGGCCTCTATCTATTAAATATCTATAAAAAAAAATATTTACAACGAAAGACCTGGAATTTTTATTTATATGTACGACGTAACCACAAAGAAATCGGTGAACTATTATATATTATCGAAAGTTCAATAGAAATAGAGAAACCTAAGGACATTTGAAGTAATACAAGGGTCGGGTGCAAGACAACCTAATAGTAAAGTATATAAGACAACTTTACTGACGATAGAACTACAAAACCACCCAAGTAGCACATAATTAATATATTAACTAAAATAAGTACCGATTTATGTCCTAAAGTCATACTAACATTTTTAATCAGCACTGGTCAAGTTTCGAATCTGTTTAAAGGCATTTATTTTATCTAATAATGCTTAATGCCATATTATGGTCAATAAAAAAAGTATACCAATGTCAAAACTCATATTTAAGTATTGGGTAATATTAATATAAAGCTGTTATCGTATTCCGGTGATATGAAAAACATTATATATTATATAAGCATTAACGTAATATTATTTAGTGCACTTAGTTGTATTACGTCATTTTCTAGAAACAAAGGTTTTCAATGGCCTATGGTTGTATCGATTTAATGCTTATCCTATATACACATTGAATAAAGAACAAGTAAAACTTTAACACTGATTTGTTCTTAAAGTATTCTTTAATCAAGCTCGCTTGAGTTCCTTTATCTTCTCAATCTATTCTTTTATAAAACATTAGGCTATATTTTGATCAATATTAAGTTATTTATAGAGATACAAGTCATAAATAGATCGTAATTATTTTTTATGTAAAATTATTTTACGTATTGTATTGTAATGGTGGCATTTTATACGCATCGCTGGCGCCATGGACAAAAAACGTTGGGAAAAACAAAGAAAACAGGTGGATATAAAAGAAAACCGAAAAAAGAGTATTCTAATTTAATTGAAGCTTTTAAAAATAAAAATGAAATAATCGTTTGATGATTATCAGCACTATAAGATACTTCTGAAGTGTTAAAATACGGCTGTACCTAAAATGGGAGTGTGTTATACGGTGAATTACGAGCTCTTAGTTTTGTGTCTAACCATAATACGATTAACAGCTCTACTACACTATATTTGAATACCTAATGCTTTAATTTTACGAGTCGCCATTTGCTTTCTTTTTCCATTTCTTACAATAATATTTAAAGTCAACTGTATGAGATGAAAAGGGGTAAATAATCATTTATTTTGTCCACAGATGCCTATAAAAGCAATTATGTTGTTAAAACAATGCTAAAAGCCCAAAATTCAACAAAAATTTTTGCTACTAGGTTAAATTTTCTATTATTTTTATTATAATAAAGGAAGTTTGTGAAGGCGCGTGTATTTTACACCATAAACTTGTATATTTTACTCCACAAACTGATGTTTGCAGCTTATTACTAACATTTATACAGCTCGTTATGAGTGAATCATAACGAGCTGTATAAATGTTTTTTTCATTGGATTGGATTTTTTTCATTTCATTGGATTTTTGTATAAAGGTAATTTTCATTGGATTCAAAACAAAATATACTTAACGCAATATAATAATATCGATTGAAGTCGTATTTCATTGTTAATATTATTGATTTTTTTACAAATATTTTTTAAATATTTATTGTCCGTGTTATATAAAAATATGAGTTTCCAAATATAGTATTAGGAAGATTTATGTATTTTATGGAAGTAACATAAGTAACAGTGTGAAAATACATAGAAGTCACTTTATATGTATTTTGCTTATCATGCCATTGAGAAATTAAAGGAATTTTTTTTTTTACTAATAATCCGAAAGAAAATATCGTTGGATTAATTCATATATTAAAAAGGAAATATATGATACCCTCAAATAAAAAAAAAAACAGCTGTTATGTTTTAATGTTTGATCTCCATACTGAAAGTTGGTATTTGTATCAGGCTATAAGTCTTATTAGTATAACACCTATAATCGTTGTTGAGATACATATGGTTTTCAGTTAGAGTAATAAAAACAAAAACTGTAATTACACATACAACTTATTAGTAATACCTTCCTTCAGACATTGTTTCCCGGTGTATGTGATTGTACTCGTATAGGTAACAAATCCAACATTCTTCCACATAGTAGGAAATAATATTGCGTATTATCTGAAAGGTAGGCATGAAAGAAAATAAAAAAGCAAATATAAAAGGTGTAAACATATACTATATATACAAGTTGACATCGATCATTTATTTTTTATAATTAGTAATAACAAGTACGGCTTGTGTATAAGTGTATAATGTTTAATTGTAATATTTGATATGGAATCCTTATTAATAAATTTTATATAATAACACAAATCATCTACATATACTTTGTAAACAACATTTAGGATAATGAATAATAAATACTGACACGACTATTATTAAACTATGTTTTATTTTTGTTTGAACTAGTTACTGTATCATTTTATAGTTACAACTAATACCTAGTTTTACTAACACTCACTAAATACGTAGTACCTTACACAAAATAAATAAAGGAAATGATTAGAAAATATATTCATTACATTTACCGTTTGATGAAGGATACTTTTGTATAAACGAAGTACTTACTTAAACATATTATAGTACTTACTTAAACTGTTAATTTCACTATAGCAGATCAGACTTCTTTCCTCGATGAAATCGTTCTTCTTTTCGACGTTCTCGGTATTGAGTCCTCTTAAATACAATTACGCTTTCTTTCCAGCGAATAGAATTTAACTATGATATCCGCTTCAGGTGTCGTTAACACCAGGATCACACGTCTGTTCCACTTCTACTTTAGTTACTCCAATCAGTTTATTACATCTTGCCAGATTTCTTGCCACTGCTCTTTGGACCTCTTCAAATCTATTGATGACGCTTTTGTTGATAATACGTGTTTCGCAACCATGGGTCAGCGCGAACAGTGTACATTGTTTAAATATATACTACCTTTATAACAGGAGAAACATTTATTGTCAAACAAACCTTATGCAAAGTACTCATTTAAGTCCACATTTAGATCTGGACATCCGAGTGCAAGCTTTACATAGTATGCTATAAGAAAGCCGAATGATACTCGTTCATGTGACATTCTAACCTACGCCACCATTTGTTTATATCCTTTTATATTTTTGTCATGTATAAATGCACGTTTCAGTTTTATCGCAATCTTTAACAAGATTTTTTTGGTATTAGTCCAAAGCATTCTTATCCGTCGATTTCTCGTCATTCGATTTGTATTTGATTTTAAAATAAGCCACAGTGGACTATATTTCGTGATTTGCCCAGCATGGCTACTTTTTTTAATGTTGTATTCACCTCCATTTTTTTATTCTAGTTATAGAAAGAATTCTTTTCAAAATTCTTTTCTATTAAATACCTTTCCGATTCCAGAACACATACGTTCAGATTACAACACCACACAAAATTCGGTAATTTCGCCAAAATTCGTTGCACGGTATCTGTTTATGTCAAAATCAATGCACAAATTTCGCCAAAATTAGTGGCACGTTATATGTTTATGTCAAAATCAATGAAAGTGGTATAATATTTGTCACACACATCGACTGTGGTTCTGCTTCAGTCTCTGATAAGGCAGCTTCCCACCAAAATTATTACCTGGAAAAATAAAATTATTTATAGATCAATGATATACCAGTAACACACAAATTGTCTAAATATTGGTTAAAATGCAGTTACTAGTAGCAAAAGTAACAAGTTCTCGAAAAAAATCATTAGACCTTTTTTTAAGCATGAATAATGTGTTTGTCACTATAAATCTGATATGACAACTCACATGATGGGTTTCTTCATAATGTCGTATTGGTGTTATCTCTTTGTACAATAGAGTAGAGGTGGTCGAAGAATGTTAGAGCGTTGGTCTCGTGAGGTGTAGGGGCTGCGGCGTATATGTGTCGGGGGTCGGCGATCTCCTGGTAGTGCAGCGGCGTCCTCACCGGCGACCACCGCCGTGACAACACCGGACCAGGCAGGGGATGGCTTAACACAATAGACACTATTAGTTTAACTGTAATCGGTACCACCATAGTATTCACGCGTAAAACTTTCATCAGAAGTATGTGTATCGAATCGAGCCCGATTTTTGTTGAGTGGTACCATGATTAAGATTTATTGCCATTAATTTCTTGTTTTACATTAGAATGCTAACGTTATCTTGAGTTAGTCACCTTTTTGGGTTGTCCTAATTTTAACTTTATTCGACTACAACAAATATTATTCTCATTAATATATAGATATATAGAGATAGCTATAGGATAGTTCCAATGAAGTCTCTACCTGTATCTCATAAAGTTGACCACAAAATCTGTCATGGTGTCCCTCATGCGTGCATTGTCATCATACGCTGATAGTTCGTCGTCAGCGAGCGGTCCCAGCTGTGAGGTGCGGAACACGTACGTGAGGTCCTCCACGTGGCTCGCACCCGATTGTTGCATCCCTCTGCGCACCTTCCATATGCTCGGTGATCCGCCGTACGAAAATCTGGATATTAGAGTGTACGCTGCCATTATATCGATGGTGAAAAACTGAAAGGGTGTATCTCATTAAAAGGTCGCAACTAGACTAAGCTTAAGGTACGAGTAATAATCAACTTTTTTCTGCGTCGATTGATCTGGGTCTCGTTGTGCTACGAAGTGTTTTTAAAAAAAGTGCGCTAGTTTTAGGGTATAAGTGGTCACATAACAGCTATTTTAAACTTTTTAGAGATACGATGAGTAAAAGTTTGTGTTTAATAAAAAGCAATAGTTACACGGGTACTGAATAAATACACTGTATCAGATACGCCTTTTTCGTGGAATTCGTTTTAAAAACTTCTCTATTTACGACATTCTGAAGGTTAGTGTTTTTCAAATGACAACAATAATTCTCTTAGAATAATACAGTTCGAGTGTAACTAAAATCAAACTTAACCGTGTTATGACAATATTACCTGAGTTAAGAGCCCTATTACAAATTTGCATTCTGTGAGATTAGGTATTTTGAAGCACAAATCCACAATACTGTGTTGAAACTACGACCACGCTATTTTGATATTTATTGCCAATTTTTGTACATTTTTTAGTATTTCTATGGTGTAATTCGTTATCGATTGCCGAACATTATAACACGACTACACAACAAAAGAATTCTATTGTGTTTAGAGTTAATGTATGTATGTGAGTTCTTTTTATTCCACCATAACTTTTGAAAGACATCATCATCAGCCCTTTTTCGTCCCCACTGCAGAGGCTCAGGCCTTCCTTATGGATGGTTAAGGAGGATGGGCCATGACCCTATACGCTGGCCCAATGCGGATTGGAGGTTATGTTTGAAAGACATAACGGATATGAATGTATAGGGTATTATTAGAAACGTTACATTGTCCCCGGTGACCACAAACTACATAAGGTATTAGTGAAACTGGCTATATTTTTAAGTATTAAATATAGCGGATGTATAATGCAATTTAAAAAAGTATGATTGTTTAAATTATAGCAATATGGGTATCAAATACGTACATTAAAAATTTATAATCTCTATACATAATTAACTGTTCACTGTTGAACAAAGATGCATGTAAAATGTAATAAAGTAACGCAGTAACTCTTTCGTACTATCAAACTGAATTCACAGAACATTTTTGTTGTTTATTGCTCACGAACCATATTATTTCAGCGAATTAATATGTTTTTCATTTTCATGTTCACTTTGAGTTGCAAAATACCTTAACGAAAAAAACTCTCTTAAACTACAAAATAATAAGTACTTAAAGATAATTCGTTATTCCTCATATTCATTACACAAGATCTTTAGCTATTTGGATTGGGACTTGAGCAAGGTATGCCATGTTGTCTTAAAGATATTTATTTACCATATATTATAAGGAGTTTACCTGTATAGAAAAGTCGACGCCGACGCTGTCGACCTCGTCCAAGCGAGCTTTAACGGTGGGTACTTGTAGTATTGGTCCGTGCACAGCCGCATGAAGCTGTTCCAATCGACGGTAGCGTTGGTGTATCTTGCGCGGAAAGCTTCCGTGATCATCGATAATTTTTTACCCGCTTTGAACGTCAAACGAGACGACACAGCCAATGAAGGCAAATTCTTTACTTGCTCTATTATATCTATCTCCCGTAACCTGTGCTGAAATGTATCACATTCGTCTTTTGTGAATCCAATCAATAGAGGCACACGCGAGTCTCGTCCGGAATCTACAAGGACTTCGGGGTCGTTGTCTAGAACAGCCTGAATCCCAGGCAGAGGGGATTCAACAACAGGTACGAATGTCGTTAGCCCGAATATATCCAGCAGTTTCTTGTTGGCGGCCATGATCTTGTCGACGGGTGTTTCTATTAATCTATGGTGTATATCGTCGGCGGGGAGCGTGGGATCAATCCCCAGCATAGGCAAGAAGAGCCTGTTTATGGTGGTAGCGAACACTGGTGATGTGCTAATAAAACCCGAGAATGCGGTGCCGCTCATCAGGATCGTTCTGGAAATAAAACAAGCTACTTTTTATTGAATAAATGATAAGGCGAGTTTTGTATAATTTGCAAGAAAACCTTCAATGGAAGCTTTTGTTTGGACGAATTTCTTTGTACCTTTCTATTGGCCTACTAGTTTTTCAAAAATGAAGATCCGTATAGTATCGGAAGTGTATCACTTACAACTATTGTACAGCAGAAGTAGAGTTAAGCTGTGTAGATCTAAGAGAAATACAAAAGTATGCCTAATAATACTTGTGGTCGTCGTTCAGATTTATGTTCTTTGACTTTTGAATGACCTTTCAAACTGCAATGCCTGTAGCATTATCCTGAGGTTGAGTGTATGATCAAAATATTGAAATGCAGTGTGCAATTTATAATTAAATGGTTGTGTGACGTTATAATAAGGAAAACAAATAGTGATAATAATGAATAAAATCAAAATAATATATTGATTTATTCAGATTAGCAGCCAAATAACTGGTTCTATTATACATGAACTTAATATTACTGCAAATGTGAGCATGATCATTGCTTTAAATGCGGCCAGGAACTCAGACACAATAATAGCAGAGAGAGAAAGTGATATACCTATGTATGAGTCCGTGTGCCGCAGGTGTGAGCGTGAGCATGTGCGCCATGACGGCACCAGCACTCTGTCCGCCGAGGGTGACGGAGCGTGGGTCTCCGCCGAACCCACGAGCGTTACTGCGCACCCAGCGCAGGAGGGACAGTCCGTCCCGGAGCCCCATGTTACCAGGCACCTGCGACGAGTTCAGCGACAGGAAACCGAACACGTTCAGTCTGCAATTATGTATGATCCTTAAGGCACCTAACATCAATAATAAAGGAGTACGATTTCTTGAATACTAACTGTTTTCAAATAATTTCGTATGACGCACAGTTTAATCAACAAAATTCCAAAACATGTCAACCAATAAATTTATCTCCTGACATTATCCACATCGCTGATCTAAATAGGTATCGATTTTTTATAATTCTCACCTGTAATTAAAAGTTATGACTATGACACCCTTGCTGACGAGATACTCTGGGCCATAGAGGTCAGGGTCTCCAGAACCGTACGCGAACCCTCCGCCGTGTATGAAGACGAGCACCGGCCGTCCGGGACCTGAATTTATCTCGGGCGTCTCGGAAGGATCGGGCACCGCTTCGATAGGAACGTATACATTTGCATGGATGCACGCCTCGCTCATGCCGCCGCTGGCCGTCTGAAACTGCATATAAACCACGTCCGTCTGGGGGCACACGGGACCTTCACTAGTTGCGTTCCGGATGCCGTGCCATGGCTCCGCTGGAAGCAGCTCCTAGAATTAGTATGTGTTAGTGTTGTTTTATATGACCTTTGTAACCTACATATATATTAAACCCCTTTTGCACGATAACTTTTATTCTTAGAATAACATGCTATAGGTTTTATTTTTTTGAGTCTTACACTCATATCTATAGTCGAGAGAAGTAATTACTTGAAAAGAAGTCATAACTTTGGCAAATATTTTCAATATTGTTCATTTAGTAAAAATATTTTCTTATATTTTTTTTATCGTACCTTTAAAAAAGAAAACATTCAAGCTTACTTCTGCATTTCTGTTATTGAACCTACGAGTGCTCTACGATGTGCACCGTGACAGTTGTGTTGTACCTGAAATCTGAGCTCTCCTAGTGGTTGCTTTGCATAGGGTACAGCGAGGAAGCTGGCGTATTCTGTGCCGGAGACGGCACGCCGGCGTGCGCCGCACACCCATCCTGCGTCAGTCCGCGCAGCTACCTCGCATCTTGACAGGTCCGGTACGCTACTGGCACTAGCTAGATAAAAAACGTGCACGTTTATTTCTCTTTCCCTTTCATCCATTGATTCCATCAGTGTACCACATATTTTTCTTGATTTTAATAAATTTTAATATCGACGCTGCGAAGCAAACACGTAGTAACCCGCAAAACCAAAATTGTTGTTCAGAGCAGAAAAACTTTGATTTTTTCGAAAAATAATTCTTATAAACGTCCACGGTAATAAATAAGGTGTTCCTAAGTCAATTTATATGGAAATAATATATTTTTTTTTTTCGGAAAAATATAAAGATTTTATACTCTAAATATCAATTTCGCAGTTTACTACGTGTTTGCTTTCTAGCGTCGATGTGTAGTTAAGTTATTATAATGAGACAGAATACAAATCACATCTCTTGTCAATGTCCAATTATTATGTCATATTCCTACGGCTGTGTAGCAATAAAAAAGATTTTTATAATGTTCACAAATTTCTTAGTAGCTACAAGCTAAATTACTTTGACTTTGTCGCGTCTTCAATTTTGAACGTTTTTTAATGAATATATTTGATTTAAATTACACAAAGTAATTTCATATGATTGGAAAATATTTGAGTCATAATATTTAAAAAATTTAGGTTCAGAATGAACATAGAAATTTTTATTAAAATATCCAGGTATATCGCACCTTAATATACTTAAGAGTATTTTGCATATGCATTCGTCAAAACCCACCCATCCGTAGTTATTCCATTGTCCCTGTACGATTCAATTCAATTCCATTCATAGGGAAGGCCTGAGCCTTCGTGTGGGGACATTAATAGGTAGGTGATGATGATGAAGACTCGGCTGTCCATCCGTCTATACGCCGTGTAGCCTCACCAGGCTGTATGTCATGACCGTAAAAAATAGACAGTTGAAATTCTCACAAACAACGTATTTCTGTTGTCGCTATAACAAATACTAATGAACAGACGATAGTGTACAGTTAAGGGGGCTCCAATGCAACAAACGTGATATGCGTTTCTATAGATAATAAGTACGGAACTCTTCGTGCGTGAATCCAACTTGCACTTATTTATAGCAATGTTTAGTCAGATTATCGAAATTGGACGTAGCGTAGACGCTTTATAACTTTTTAGTACTAGACGATTTAAACTTAGAGTTTGGGTCAACTCACTACGCTCCAGTTTGCCGACATATCTAATAGACTTGTCTGTTCGTCTGTCTGGCGGTTACGTGCGCGCGTGCATCATCTGATTATATGACCTTGACACAAATTAGGTACGCATTCATATTAGACATTATTGAAACGTTTATTGCACTCACTACTAATATTTACAAAACATGTTATCTATTACAACGTCCCTGTTAACATGAATCCAAATATTGTTCCTTTGTCGGTTTTTAAGGTTCCGTACCAAAAAGGATGAACGGAAAACTTTTCACGTATTGGATCAGTCCGTTATTTGTTCGTCCGTCTATTTACCGCCGATTTTCTTCTTAACGAAATATTTTTTAATCCAAACGAAGAAATTTGGGAATCAGGTGGATCCCCGGAACATAACGAATAAAATGAAAGTTATAGCATAACGTATATTGACTGGAAAGAAGAACGTATCGGGTCATAAATATACGAGAACAATACGCACAGGCCAGAGTCGGAATGTAACCAACTTAATTGTCCAAATTTTTTTTATATTCGGACCATAAAAATAATTGTGATCAATTATTAGAATTATAAAGCCGGTAATATTGCTAAGTCACTAGTCCAGCCCGACATCCTATATTAATCTACCACAAGCTTTGGTCAGATATGTGACAACGGCAGATATCGACGACCAATTCCAATTTTGTTTAGTCTTCTTTTTATTCTTGGTTCACAATCTTTTCTTGGTTCTCAATTTTTAGTTTAGACGCTCTCTTAACCTCGGATATTATAATTTTCTAGCTTTACGCTAACGGTCAAACGCTGAAACGAGTATTTACTTATGTTCATATACATGATTTTAATTTTTTAACTGACGGAGTTTTATACAATGTTATCTCCCCCTGCCCCCCTCCCCTCCCCTCCAAAAATCCTTTCTCACGTGTACTATAAAAGGAAGCAGAGTCAGTCACTAAGTCAGTATACCTCCTTATACTATTTGGAATTGTTATATATGAACCAAAAGATTTCATCCTTATAACCGCTTATAGAATTTTGCGTATCGTTACGTGTCGTGCGCCAAGTTATGATCCTATTAAGGTCAATTTACAGAGATGAACTTATCTGTCGCTTTAAGTCTGTCCACTGAATATAATACAACATCGACTGTGTCATCGCTCAGATTTCCAGTAATAAAGCTTACACTAACGATACATACACAAAATTACGTATTAGATATGAAAACAAATCCTTTTTTAATCATAATTTTATGTTATATTGTTTACGATATGTTGTTTATATTCCAAATGATATTATATTGTTGTAGCCAACAGCCAACTCCATACTTGTATTCTGCTAACAGTGTCTGGTCCTATGGCGCCATTATTTCTCATAATAAAATTACATTCGTCACATTTTTAATGATAACAAAATATGTATTCAGATATTTGTAACACAACTTGTATGCAAAATATATATGATTATAGTGACGCACGGTATTAATAACATTAGCAAAATTGATAGGTCACCGATCGCAACATATTATGTTTTATTTATACATAATAATAACAAATAATAATTAGCAATTTTGCTCATATTGCCTAATAAGGTATTTAAATAACGTCAATTTTTATAAGCTATCAAAAGTTCTTGTGAAGATACGCAGCGTAGGTATAAATTAAATTCATGTTTATCTAATTAATGAATGACAGAGTAAAATATTTACTGTTGCTTTGCGCTCGTTTATCTGCGATTCTGTTATTTAATCGATATTCGTGGTACAAATTATTTTTGTGCGCACTGCTCGTTTTATTTAGATTTACATTTAGTCTAGATCAGATGTTGGACGTCACACAATTATTATCTATTGCGGAATAATTATTGTACCTACTATCGGTCGATAGATATTTTTTTACTGTAACTGTTACTAATAATTGAAACTATTGTAAATTGGTGAGAAATGTACTTATTATTTTCCTAAATATAATCACTTAGTATGTGTAATGTTTAGGACTTGAATAAAATAAAACAAAACAGTAATCTGAACTAAAAGAACAACCAACGGGTGCCATAATCTCATCAGTTATCATGTGTATTATTCTATTTCTAGCCATAATTATTCAAAAGTTTCAGACTGAAACTATACTCTAGGGGTTAAGTCCCTTATTCTGAATTAATTGTCGGTGTTGATTGATGATTTAGTACATAATAAAGAGTCCGGGGTCCCACTCACCGCGCGCGATGACAGCGGCGAGTGTGGCGAGCAGAGCGGTCGCAGTTAACGCGGCCATGTCACTGTTTTATATATGTATAAGTAATATGTACGGATGGTGTCCGTCGCACCACACAGCACCGCACAGCACCGCACCGCCGGACTGTACGCGACTGAGCCGACGCGACCTCACATATATATATATATTAACCAAAGCTTCTGCGGTGCCACTGCCAGCGCCCAGCGCGCGGTGCCATCTATATATACATATACATACATACAATTAATATATGGTGATCGATCAGTTGACATAATTTTGATTTTAAGCATTCAACAAATAGCAAAACATTAAATAACTATATCATGCATTGTATTTAAAAGAACGCTAACCTTAAAAACAACAAGTATTTATTGCTGATTGCATAACGAAATTTTTTGACTTTTATATACCTATTAAGTAATTTACGATTCGTATTAAGTATTATTTTAATGTTTCAAATATAATGTTTTTTATAATTTAATTAAATTTATTTATTCTATAGTTTTTTGGTCCACGAACCTTATTCCCTTTCTAATGTAGGTACAGTCAAGGTAAAAGATATAGATACGAGTATTTTGACTAGAGATGTAACGGATAATAGTTTGGCCGGATACCGGATATTCGGGAAGTTCTGACGCCGACGCGCCTTATATCTGGCTACCGGATATTTGATCCGACCCGATCAGTTTGATTTGAATCTATAGCGTGTCAAGTATAAGCAGTGTTACCGACTCTAAAATCTAGGGGATGATAGAATTTTTTTTTTCAAAATTATGGAGTAATTTTTTAGGAGTTAATTCCGTTTTTTAGTTTTCAACATTCCAGTGTGTCAGAGATAAACTTGCCAACATAAACTCGGGCAAATACTTAAAATAGGAATTCCCTGAAGCTAGCCTGCTATATGAAGCAAAGCGCAGTCGCCTCTTACTAACAAAAGCAGATAGTTTGATATTCATTTACCACAATTTACCACTTGTTAATTTTGAGTATTAAAATGACTCAATTGTAACATTTAGTTTAAACCTATGTATATTTTTTTTAAATATAAATATTATTACTATTAATTAATAAATGTAGGTAAAGTGGTATAATTTTCCTTTAGTAAAATAATGAGATTTATGTTTATTTTGCTATCCGGTATTTGGCCGGATAGTAAAAATAAGACCAGATAGGCCGGATACCGGATAGTAACAGGATATCAGTTTCATCTGTAATTTTGACATTATAAATGAACTCATATCTTTAATTAATTTAATTCTTTATGTAGTCCATGGGCGTTAATATATGAGCACTCGAAAACACATATTTTTGTGTTTACTTTAGGGTACATTAATTTGTATACATGTTACATATTTCCCTATTAATGTATATGCAGTATTAAGTAAAAAGTGTATTTGTTCGCGGTTTCGCGTGCGTGTCCTGTCCGTGTGGTGATGGCACCTAGTATTTCGTACTGGGCCCAATGTGGACTGGTGGTGCTAAAGCACAGGTATTCTTAATGTATAAATAATTTGGCCACCCACCCGATCAAACTCGCTAAAGTCCATTCCGCAAATCACAGGTACCGGTGAGGTTTGGTAACAAATCAATTTCACGCAATTTGTGTTTCCAAATAATTAAAGACCATCGTTATAAAAATAGTTTAACTATGTATATATATTAGATATTTATTTAAATTTGCATAGTAAAACACAAATAAATATTTTATGGCCATAATTACTGAAATCTGACCCTCTAAAGTTTAAAACATCGATACTTGTAACGAAAATTGGTAGGATTTTTTTTTAATAAAAATTGCATTAAAAAAAATCTTCTTAATCGAAATATGTATTCGGTAACCGTTTGACATTTTTTTAATTATTGGTGCCGTAACAATAAGAGTTTAATTTAATATTTTTATATGTTTTTCTGAATCGAGTTCACCTTGTTGTGAATAAATATGTTTCTCAAATCCTGTTTTATACATTGACCTCAAAATTGATTATCTCTATTAGAAATGAACTCAATCATATCGAGGTTTTGTTTATATATTTCTTCCCCCAATTTATAACATTATTAATCTTGATGAACGGTTTAGTTTGTGGTAACTTTTGGTGTGTATATATCTGTGACCTTGATTGTACATCACCAAAGTTATCTGTTGTCAGGCTTAATCGAATTTGATTTTTTTAATATTGTACGTGGTTACTTTATATTAATATTACAATATACGATGCAAAATTACAATATACGAACATATATTGTAATTTTGCATTCATAATTCTAAATTTTGTTAAAGTTATTTTTTGATATTTGTTCAAAAGGTAAATCTAAAATAAATCTTATGATATTTTTTTTTCAATAAATCGTATGTAATCGCGACATAAATAAATGTAAATTACATACATCCAAGAAAATAAATATATCGGTAATGTTGAATACTGGTAGTGGGGCTCCACCTCGAATAGGTCAACTCGTACCATGGTAGAAAATGGACTTTCGTGGTATTATTATGCTGAAGAAACTTAACAATATTTGTGTGATGTTAAGCTGTGTATTGATTATTTGTTTCTCTTTATACGAACAAAGAAAAAAAGCCAAAATAGGAAGGAAAATCACAAGGAAAGAATTTATTATATTAAAGCTTAAAGGTAAGCATGATGTCCCTCGAATGCAATGAAAATTTTATGTATCTAATTATTAGTGTGTATGAGACCTGTCAACCCAATACGCCAGATGTTTGACGTATGTACATACGTGTCAATAATTTGAAATCACGAAAAATAATAATCAAATGTGACATCAAAGATCAAGTCAAAGTCAAAATAATCTTTATTCAAATAGACTTCTTAAAAGTACTTTTGAATCGTCCAACATTTTTTTCCCTACCGCTCGTTCAAGACGTCTTTTGGCTGATAAGAAGAACGAGCAAGAAACTCACCAGCTCTAATATGAGTAATGACATTTACAAAAACCATGCCATTACCAGATCAATACATTATAAATAAAGAGAAAAAAAGCAACTATGGTTTTATAATGATAACATAATCATTTAATAATAATGGAAGCAAGATAATTTTTGATATATAATGAGTTAAGAAGTAATCAAACCTATCCAGTTGCTGGATCATCTCAATTCCAAGCATTCTTATCTGTTATATAATCGGATACCTTATAGTTAGCTTTTTTAATAAGTATTATTTTAATAGTAGATTTAAACTGCATGAGAGAACTGCATGCAAGAAACATCAAAATGTTGATATGTAAAGAACCTAGGAATAAGATAAACGCGGTAATGGTGTAGGATTCACTTCATCCCCATTTATGGTCCCAAGCGATTACAATTGTGGAATACACGCAAGTAAAGTTACGGGTGGAGACTAGTTATCAATTTTAGCCTCGTTAATTAACTTATAAATTATCGAGTAACTCATTTTATATAATTGTGTACTTTCAAATGACACGTGTCTGTAAGTAGAATTACGGGCGGGACCCTGACACGCACGAATAATTGATGTGCAAATTAATTTATTTGTTTATCGATTGCAATGTTTATTATTTATTATTGTGTGTGTGCGTTACAGTACAGGGCGAGATAAATTCCATAGTGCGATAACATTTAAATACGAGGTGATGATACCTAATACCTACGCCTACTACTTTCAATAGGAAATGTGCAAATTCTTTTTTTAAGTATATTTATATTAAAATTTATGATGTTCATCGTCATCTTCCTGCCCTGTTCCCACTCTAAGTGAAGTCAGCGTAGTGTGTCCTCCTTTTCCACTCTTATTTATTTATTTTATTTACAATTATGATATGTAACATAATATGTCCGTACCAGACCAAATGCTTTATTTTCAGTTTTCTGTCACTGGTGCCGCTTTATTTAACTGTAAAAATAATACTCGGTGACGAAAAATAAATTTATCAAAATAAATGATAAAATTAAGTAACAACTAGGGATGTGACATTTGTGATCAAAATCATTTTTGAGTAATTGATTAACAACGAATCGATTTCTTTTAAGAATTAATCATTTTTTTATCAAGATGGGATATTAAAAAGTTATTTAAATATTGCTACTGAATGTATTGGAATTTTGTGAATGTGCACAATGTATTTGTCAATAATATTTTAGGTACAAAATATGTACTTTTTAATTTCTTAGATTACCAACCTTTGAGTACGTTATTACAACTAATTATTAATTCAATTTTATTTACTTGATAAAATCAATCAATGCATCAAACAGATATAGATAAATGTACAATGACATTTGGAAAAAAAATAACAAAACAAAAGCGACATCACATTCTTATGAATCAAAACCAAATCCAAAAAAGGAGAATAATAAAATGAACTTCCGCTAGGTAACACTTGATTTTAATACGTATACGAAGTTCAGAAAAATTATGGTCGCCCAACAAACAAAATAATCCTGGCATGCGATTTAATAGTCCTGTTTGGACTTATATGGCTACTATAATGGTTTCAGAATATGCCACTGCACTTATATCAGCATACGTGAATCCTGTTTTTACTCAAGTACGCTTACTCCTACAATATGGACTTATATTGGTATATAGGATCACAATTCATGGCTACTACTGGACTGAGCCGCCTATAAGAGCATGTATTAAGAGTAATTACTCTCAAGAGGATCTACTCCGATAAATCAGACTTATATGCGCATATAAGACAACGCTTTAAGCGCATTTGCGCTAAGCAAAAATGCACTTTATAGGGGTTTGTCATATGCCGATATAAGCCTAGGTAGATTTATATGGGTATTTCATAGTAGTGCTATTGTCTAAGAAATCTTCAAACAATCCTGGCTAAAACTCTTGAAAGGCCTTTCTCTGGAAACAACCGATATAGTCGAAAACACGACGTGAATGATTCCCCAAATCTTACTATAGGATTTGCGATCAGCCATTAAAATCACGGTTGTTACTAAATATTTGTCATAACAGAATCTACGATTTCCAGTGTGAGCCCCCTGATGAAACAGTAATAATTGTAGAACCCTATTTGTGGAACCCTAATTGGTAACAACA